TTCTGGTTGCTGCACAATGCTGCACAAGGGTGGAGGGCGGGGGTTTCATTTAACTGGTGGTTATTTTTGGGGTAGAGCTTATATTATGAGCGTCCTGAAAAATCATACTAGGGCTTATTTTCAGGTTAGGCCTTATTTTTGGGGAAACAGGGTAGTGCATCCTTATTGTTGTGTCCTTATGTGCTGAAGACGTTGATCATAGCTGTTGAGGGTGGAAGGACTGGTTAGCTAATGTAGTTTTGCCAACTCTGGAAGTTGGGTCATGACAACTGGACTTCTTTCTTATTAGGTTGAAACGTTCTACTCATCCAAGTAGCTGCTTCAGTCTGAGGAGAGTTGGTAGGAGACCCCTGATACATCCTCCATGTTGGTTTCACTTCCCCCTGGTCTGAATAGGCTCATTAGATGGACAAGGGATTGGGTGGGGTGAGTGAAAATCCCACTTCTGCTGTCCTTCTCCACCCATTGTCCTGGGTTGTTAACAGTTGTTAACAGTGGTCTTTCTGGTGTGTGTGGTTCTGATCTTCCTGGGGATGTATGAAAGGGCAGCGTATTAAATGGGAGACAGATTGTATCTAAGGCCTTAACCCCTGTTAAGTGAGGAATTTTCTATATGCAAGTGTATGGCCTTCCTGACCCCTCTTTCAAACCACCTGTCTTCTTGGTCCAAAATGAGTACATCTTGGTCATTAGATGAGTGTCCTTTTTCTTTCAAATGAAGAAACACTGCTGATTGTGATCCTGAGCCGTTGCCCCTCCTGTGCTGGGCCATTCTCCTGTTTAGTGGCTGTTTGGTTTATCCAATGTAAAGGTCTGAACACTCTTTTTTGCATTGGACCACATATACTATATTGCTCTTGTTTTGTTTTAGTGTTCAGTCTTTTGGGTGGACTAGTCTCTGCCATAGTGCTTTTCTGGGTTTGAAGTGCACAGGTATGTGGTGTTTGCCAAAAATCCTTTTGAGCTTTTCAGAGACACCCGCCATGTAAGGAATTACCAGAAGTCCAGTTGCCATGACTCAACTTTCAGATAACTTCACCTGGATGACTGAGAATCTTCACCGTTAGAGGGATGATAACACCCCCCCAGCTGCTGCTTTTCTGAGTGGGATATTTTTTTCCTGGTATCTTAAGTTCTAGAAGTGGAAGAGGAGTGGAATATATGGATAAGCTGGAAACAGTAGCTTCTTCCTTTCTTGTGTCATGATGTGCCTGTACCAAGGTTTGATATTGTCGTCTGTTTATAACAATACCATCTCCACCACTACTACAAGAGACATATGCATGTATTCTCATGGCTGTAAAAAAAACAGAAACAGCAAACCAAAAAAGGACTTTATTTTATTTATTTATTAAATTTACTGTAAAAAAAAACAGAAACAGCAAACCAAAAAATGACTTTTTGGGGTCTTTTTGTTTTCTCTCTGTTCTTTTCCCCGTGTATGTCTTTACAGACAGACACCTGGTCCTGAGGTATATCTACAAAATAAAATCTTAAGCTCATTAGGACATGCTTTCTAAATGTGCATTTTAACTAAATATTTTTCTTCTAGCTGCCTATCCTCAAGACTTTTCTCTAGTGTTCAATAACAGACGCACACACACACAAATACACACGTGTATGTGTTATAGGACAAGTAAACCAACACTTGGTATAGAGTGGAAATTTTACAACTGAGTTATAAATTCCAGAATCAGTGTGGTTTATAATGGGAAAGCTATAGGGGAGAATGGAGGGAGCGAAATAATACGTATGTAACCTTTCCCCTTCTTTTTAGTGAATAGACCATTTAAACTAAATTAAGTAAGGGATGTAAATTCTGTTGTTTCATTTTTTAATATTTCATGTCTGGTTTTATAGATAAAAATTACACTTAACTATAAATATGAAGAAGAATTTATACAGCCTATTCTGGGTTGATATGGAACAGCAAATCCCATTTCTCTTCAGCTGTAAAGAAAATTCATTATTATGTCTTTGGTTGTAAGAGATGGCTTCATTGTGATTAGTTACACTGATAATAAAACAACCTTTTTAAAAATGGCACAAGATACATGGGATCTCACGTGTCTGCCTTTAATGGCACTGAATTTGTGCATTTGCTACCTTTTCCATGAATCCTTTCCTCTTGTCTTATATCTGAGCCCATTTTCATGCATGCATCTTCTTCTTTTTTTAAATGATAACCTTATATTAAGTACTTAACAGTTAAAAATATATTTATACTTCTGGAGAAGGCAGAATCGATATAGTGGTTTCATCTTAAATTGCTTAAGATAAATGAAATGCTCCCTGCAACCATGGTTTGCAAATTTGGGAACCAGCTTTGTGAACCTCTGCATCACACTCCTTTCTGTAGCATGAATTCCCCCTCCTTTTCCCTTGTCGACCTTAACTCAGACCACAAAGACACGTCTGGCTGCAGTATGTTTCCAGTCTTCCAGCTCTTGGCAGGCTTGCTGGGAAAATGGAGAGGAAGAGATACTCAGCTATTTTATATTAGTGTGGCAGATGTGGAATGATGTCATTACGCTAACTGCATTTGAGGCTGGCACCAATTGCAGGTCCCCAGACAGTGTCTTCTGTGGCTTTAAAAAGTTAGGATGTAGCTGAAGAATTACTCCACAGCTCTCATCTGTAGAGCAGAAAGTGTTGTGGCCATTCATCTGTGTTTTCTAAGAAATTTAAGGAAAGGCTGGTTTGGGGGCTGCTCTGTTAAACTGGATAATGAACTCATTACATGGATAATGTACAACTTAAGTACAATTCCAAGAATGGGGATTAAAATGAAAGCAAACATTGGCTATATTTCCTTGGAAGATAAAAGCAGAAAAAATTTTGAGGTTAAACTTGTAAAAGGAAAATGCTTTGAGTAATGTAAATGTACATGAAATATTCACTTCAAAATGTAAATATACAGTAAAACACAGATTGGATCTAAATGTTTCTCTTCCCATTGTGAGATGAGGATTCAAATTGCTACAGAAGTATTTTCTCAGAAAGTTTTTTTAATAATGGATTTTTTTTATTCTAGTCTCTGTAAAAAGTGGCCACCAGGTGTCATCAGAAGACTTTTTTATGCTGACTTCATCTTATTTTATGTGGGTTATTTTACTTAGAATTTTTGCAGGAATGTGAACATAATGTGAAATATCTTTTCCCCCCCTGAGGATATTGTGACACTGAGCTTTTGTTGAAGTATCCTCAAAGATCATGGCCTGATAGGCCAGTGGCCCAGATACGTTTTTGTTACTGGTAATAAAGTGTGGAGACAATGGTGACCTGCAGTCATGCTAAAATCTAGCCCTGTCTTTAGCATAAGTCCTGCAGCAATCTTTTGCTTTTGATGCTGGCCTTTTTCAGCAATCTGTTGTGCCATGCTAGAAAATTTCAGTTGCTGAACAGTCCAGGGACAGGTTTTGGACACACAACCTTGGTGTTTCATCAGAAGAAGTGAAGATGGTGATAGGTGCTGCAGCTAATGTGCTTGAACCCTTTGTGCCAAATTATGGGCTGATAATTGACCCTCTAAGTTGTCCATTCTGGCCATCAGTCATTGCTATGTGCAGCATATTCCTGAGTAGCCCCAGGGTTAGGCGCCGTTGGGAGGATGGGCGATAGCACTGAGCAGGCCAGAGAAACACTAAGTAAAGGGGTTCTGTCAGTCATCACCATCTTTATTACCTACATAAAAGTAAGAAGAGGATAATCAGTGCAGACACTCCCCCACAGTGCCCAATTTAGCTCTCACACCACCACCATCACCACCACCCAGTCCAAAAAAACTCCCCTGTAACCAAAGCAGGCATCTCAGTGGTGACTGGCACCTCACTGGTGTTTTCATGAGGTTTGCATAACTTGCCACAGCTAATTGTAGTTAACTGATGAGGTGTCTGGGCACTTTTCACTTGCACAAGGAAGGGTGTGTCCAGGCATACAATTGGCACCTTGTTAGTCAGCTGAGGTGAGTTTCACAAAACTCCAGTAAGATTCTGCTAAAGGATATACATGGTGTGTGAAGCTGAAGGATGTTCTCAACATAGGAAACCACTACAAGAAAACAAGTAAAAAACATCTGTGTTCGTTGAAATACTGCCAAATAATTTATCTAGAAAGACAAAAATGTAGGCAGCTGTTTTGTCCATTAGAGGAGAAAATTAGAAATAGTGATGGTTACATGATACTTTTATTTGGGACTAATTATGAAAATGCAGGAAGTTATGTCTTCAAATCCCAAGATGTTATGGTACTGTAAGCTCTATCGTAGGCAGAGCGACATTAACTGCACTTTGGTTTCAGCATGCTGATGTTTTGTTTTATAATTCTGAGCTAGTCGTATCTTAAGAGCATATTTCAGTTTGAGGACAGTTAATTACTTAATTGTGAAACTTTCAATTCAGGCAAGAATAATTTTTGTCTTCTCTTTCCTTTTAAATGAATGCCGTGCAGTGTCAAGGTAGTCAAAAACAAAGGTCAAACTTTTTAGGCTTGAATTCCCAGAATGGGCACATTATTTACACCACAAGTATTGCACAGGGTTGTCCAGTTTCCAGAATACAGTCATATAAAATGAGCTTGGGTTGGAACCAAGCAACAGCAGCATATTCCCGAGTAGCAGAATTTGCAGCTGCATGATAACATTTTGTTTTTCAGAAAGGCTAAAAATACAGTACTTGTTTCTGTCATTTATGAGTGTCTTTTGCTAACACAATTTCAAATACAAGTGGACCCAATTTTTCTACAATAACTGCATCCTTTTCACAAAAGAATAATAGAACTCTTATGTAGCTGTCCAGACACAGACTTCATTTAGGTATTATTGTCTTGAGCATTCTGTTTACACATGTTTACCAACATCATTAGCTGAAAACATCCCTGTAGATTTTTAAACCGGCTGAATTCAACAAATTATTAGTTACTTTGGAATAAAACACAACTTGTTTTAATGGACATGAAAAGATAATCACTTAACATTATTTCTCTCTCTCTCTTTTTCCTAGAAAGCCCTACAGCAAATGAGCTGATAGTTTTGTTGCCACTGGACTTGATACAGTATTACCTTCATTAAGGATGGATGCTGAAAAAAATCAGAGGAATTATGAAGGTGAAGAGAATGTACAGAATGAATTAGAAAAAGAACTTACTGAAAATAGTCTAGCTGAAAAAACGGGCAGTGAACCTTTGTCTCCCCCCAAAATAAATACATTTTTGACTGAAGAACAAAAAACCCAAGGGAACAGAGATGATGAGAACAGCAAAGCCAAACGACCACTATCAGCAACTTCAGAACAGGACTTTATTGAAACAAATATCCTTGAAAATGAGCCTCTCTCAAAAAGGTTAAAGTTGACTGTGGCAAAAACTACAGAACAGAATGAAGAAAGGCCATCAAGTGCCACAATGTGTGAAGATTCTGTTGGGGAAACAAGTGAGCTTATAGTGGGCGAAGCTGTTGGAGAAGTATCTACAAATGCTTGTCCTAGTAGTGGTGCATTTATTTCAAATTCTTCATGCATGCAACATGATCCAATGCCTGAGGGTGATAGTACAACACAGGATATGCGTGTGGAAATAGAACATCTCCAAGAAGGTCCAGCTCTGCTTCCTGAATGTACATTATCTTTCCCAGATGATGGAACCAGCATTAGCTATGTAGCCAGTAGTGCTGAAAATATTTCAAAATGCAAAGACTGTGAGGAAATGTTTGCTACTTATCTTGATTTAGAAAAGCATATTCAGGAAAACCACCTTGAAAAATCCAAAGAGCCTATGACCCCACAGAGTACTTACATGCCAGAACCTTCTCCATCTTTGGAAACACATGTCAAGCAGACTGCTGGACAGCTTAAATATTTTTGTGATCTCTGTGGTTTTCAGTCTTTTGAGGAAGATCTCCTACAGACTCATTTTCTTGGTAAGACACACCTCCGCCGGCAAAACCTTGCTGCCCGTGGTGGTTTTGTGAAGATATTGACAAAAAAGACCCTTCATAAAAAACAGCAGTACTCAGTCAGAGATAAGAATATGAGAACACAACCTGCACTTTACAAACCAAAGATAAGGAATCCACTTTCACAATGCTTAAAAAATTCAGGCAATAGAATGAAGAACTTGAAAACAAGCTGTCAAGTGGTTGTTAAAATGGCACCATCTAAAACAGTTTCTACAGGTACATCAGAGAATATTGCCACTGAAGAAGTGGTTTTCTGCAATGTGGATGGAAGTGGAGAGGTCCAGACTGAAAAGTTAGAGGTTGCAGGATCCTCAGGGAACAGCAGACATGCACCAGAACTTTCTGAAGGTGGCCGGATAACAGTAGGCAACTTAAGCACTATGGAGATATTTGATAGGCGCCACCAAAAAAGAAATATTTCATCCCAAATAACAACTTTCAGACAAAGTAGTTCTTTTAAATTAAACCAGAAGATTAAAAGGCGATATAATTTGTTGGGCATGGGTAAAAGGAACAAACCTGACTGTACCTTGAAACACAGTGTCAAAGCGGAGTTGAGTCAGAGTCATCTATCACTGGTGAAAGCTGATGTTAATCCCTTGTGCAGAGCTGCCTCCCAAATACAAGTGGTTAATTCAGATGGAACAAATGCATGTTCATCTATGATTCTGGAGCCTGACAATTCTTCAAAGAAAACTATTGATGTCCAGAAGAATCTGCATCCTTGTGATCACCGTGGATGTACTTTGCTGAACACAGAGGGCTTGCCTTTGAGCGTTGATGGAGTTCATGCTGAAAAAACTAACTTTTATTGTGAGAAATGTAATTCTTGTCCAGCTAAAAAGGAAATGGAGCTACATTGTCAAAACAATAGCCACCATGTGGGAAATTTTAAGATAAATTGTTCTCAGTGTTCATTTCTTGCTCTAAGTAATGAAAGCCTTGGGAAACACATGTGTGATGAACATGGTATGTCCCATTACTGTGTCACTTGCCACTTGTATTTTCTCACTGAAGAAGAAGTGGCAACTCATAACAGAACTGAGAGGCATATCGGTTTATTATCTCAAATAAATACCACTAGGCAATTTGATAGTGATTTGCCCCAACAGACAGCATCTTGCATTGAAGTGGAGTCAAGTGTTCTTCAAGAGGCTGAAGAAGTGAAAATTCAGCAAGAAATTTCCAAGACTTCTGTGGTATATCCTGCTAATGAGTCCAAGGAATCTGTTCTGAGCAGAAGCCAGTTTCAGTGTAAAAAATGTTTTTATAAAACCAGATCGTCCTCTGTGCTTACGAGACACATAAAACTTCGACATGCTCAGGAATATCATTTCCTCTGCAAAGCATGCAATCTCTATTCACTAAGCAAAGAAGGAATGGAAAAGCACATCAAAAGAAGTAAACACCTTGAAAATGCCAGGAAAAATAATATTGGTTTGCGCTTCGAGGAGTGTATTGAAAGAGTATGTGTAGGTGTGAGTGATGGTAAGAAAGTAACAGAGCCTTCCATTTATGGTGGCCCCAAGACTGCAACAGAAATTGACAGCATACATGTCTCTTTCTGTGCACTGGAAAACAAGGAACATTTTCCATCGGATGAAACAATTAAAGGCAGGGAGTTGGCTCTGAGTACTGTACAAAAGAGAGGAAGGCCTAAAGGCACCATATCTCGCACATGTCCTCACTGTGGTTTGCTGGCTTCCAGTGTTACAAACTTGACTGTTCATATTCGGCGAAAGCATAGCCACCAATACAGCTATTTGTGCAAAGTGTGCAATTATTACACTGTAACTAAGGGAGACATGGAGCGCCATTGTGCTACAAAGAAGCATAAGAGCCGTTTGGAAATGAACGGGGGAGAAAATGTAGAGATCATTGTTTTCCCAGAAGGGACTAATGGTGAACCCAACAGCAAAAATATAAATAGTATGGTAGGGACTTTGAGTGATTCTGTTGACCATGACAATCTGTCTTCTCACTTGGAAAATACTATGTCAGAAAGCCAGGGAGATGATCAGGGCAGTGCTATCCAAATGCAAGCCGAACATGTGATTCAGATTTCTGAATTGAATAGCAATAGTAATTCAGAAATAAAACATAATATGATTCCCGAACCAGGTAAAGTTACTCAAGACAGAGATTCATTGGTTCAAGCAAGACTTGTAGGTGCGAATGATAATAAGTGTGCTCACTGCAACTTTGTTGCACATTCTTTTTCTTCTCTGGATGTACATGTAAAACGCAAGCATACTAAAGAATTTGAATACTATTGCATGGCCTGTGACTATTACGCCGTTACTCGCAGAGAGATGATTAGGCATGCAGCAACAGAGAAGCATAAAATTAAAAGGCAAACTTACATATGTGGTTCCTCTGAAGAGGAGACGGATGCAACTGATATTGCCAAAGAAAGTGCCACCGTGCCTCAAGAAGAGCAGCAGCCGGCCGAAGAACTTCAGATCAGAGAAGACGAAATGAATCACAGAGATAGCATTGCAGAGAAAATTCTAGACAATCAAGAGACATGGCAAATGAAGAAATCATCTAATTGCATGGCTTCAAAAGAAAGTGGTACTTCTGAGCTGCGTAGTGAAGGTGATGCTTTTAATGCTGTAGATGTTGAATCTGAGGATGCAGATATCCAAGACAGAAAAAATGCAGAAAATGTTCAAAAAGATGTAGTTGATAAATTTGGTGAGATCATCTCACTTAAAGAAACCATCGAATGTGTTCTGCATGAAAATATAAATGATCAAGAAACGGTTAAGTCAAAATTTAATTTTATAGCAGAAACTGGAAATACAGATATAGCTTTTAATGAAGTCTCTCTGAGCTTGAACTTGGCTGAAAATAAGTACAGTTTGGGGGTAGACACTGAAAAAGGACATGAATCTTCTGGGACATCTGTTGAGGACATAAAAACAGAAGAAGCACAGTTTTCTGTACTTTCGGATGCAAGTACTACATTAGAACAGCAAACTATTGATGAAAGTATTGAAAGAACTATTCAAAATATGCATGATTTACAGCAACAAAAAAACACCGAGCAAAATTCTACTCCAGAGGAAGAAGATACCCTATTAGATGCACAACATGAAACAGAAGTACCTTTAAATAATATTTGGGGTTCAGATAGGTCTGGAGTTGAAGGTATTGAAGAAGGTAATGAGACTTTAGATTCTTTTGTCAATCCTGATAGTAGGGTGAAAGAGGGGATGGCCGTGCAAAATTTTGGTCAGTTTGATTCATCTATAGTAAAATTAAAAAGCCATGAAGATGTTTGTGAGCCAACCGAGCATGTTGCTGATAGACAGAATCTGAGCGGACTCAAAGCCTGTGAGAGAGGTGTGAAACTGGATGCTTCACATGGTGGTGGAAAGAAGAAGAGAGCTGAAGGACATCCCCTTGGGGAATCCACACGTATTCGCTGTGATGACTGTGGCTTTTTAGCTGATGGTTTGAGTGGGCTCAATGTTCACATAGCTATGAAGCATCCTTCAAAAGAGAAGCACTTCCACTGTTTACTCTGTGGAAAGTCCTTTTACACAGAAAGCAACCTTCACCAGCACCTAGCTAGCGCTGGCCACATGAGAAACGAACAAGCCAGTGTTGAAGAACTGCCAGAAGGGGGTGCCACCTTTAAATGTGTTAAATGTACAGAACCTTTTGATTCGGAACAGAATTTATTTCTTCATATTAAAGAACAACATGAGGAACTGCTCCGAGAAGTCAACAAATACATAGTTGAAGATACTGAGCAAATCAACCGAGAGAGAGAAGAAAACAAAGGCAATATTTGCAAATACTGTGGAAAGATGTGTCGAAGCAGTAATTCGATGGCCTTCCTAGCTCATATTCGCACCCATACAGGTATGTATTAACAAACAGTGTAGCCAGTGCTTTGCAAACATAAACCAAATTAAGATCTTCCTAGCCCCGTTTTTTCATTCCATATATTTAAAATTGTAAATTGCCCCTTCCAATGTCTTAAATCTCCCTGAGTGTTTCTAATTTTGACTTCACTGCTTCCTTGTCTTAAATTTTAAGACTACTGTTTAGCAGAATGTTGAAGCCTATGTTTTTGTTCTCCAACTCGTAGAATCTTTTGCCAGCATGGTAGACACAGGAACCATTGTCCAAAAAGCTAAAGTTCTGAACTCTGCTTTAAGACAGGCACTTAGCATTAATTTCTTGGGGATATGAATATTACCCTTGGCACCACAAGTGTTGTGAGTCCCCAGTTCCCTCCCCCAGAATCAGCAGAGCTACTCACCTGGCTTTGTGCAGTGCTGGGGTCCTTCATTGTCATTGGCGTGCCTATCCTGGCCGGAGCCCAGGTGACCCTTCTTCACTTTCCTGCATAGCTGACCATTTTAATGCGGAGGCAGGACAGGGAGTCTCCTCACTTAGCTGAAGAGTGGTCACCAGTGAGTGGCCCAGCCAGTTGTGGGGGAGGAAATTGGGCCCCGTGGCACTTGTTGTGCCACGGATCATATTTGTATCTCCAAGATATGAATACAAAGTGCCCAGGTCTACTCTGCTTTATTCATCAGAGTGATGAATTATTATTATTTTTTTAAGTTACAAGTGTGACCTTTCCCCCTTTGTTAGTATATCTGTTAAAGACTACTGTATATCCTCCAGGCTCCAGCAATATCAATTTAATTAGATTACACATCCGTTTTGATTTGATAAACATATCTTCCAATGGCCAACTGTTTTGTTCACCTAATACATTGTTGCTTGTTATCTTTTTCCTATAAAAATATTTGTTTGGACCTCACTTGATTCATTCTTTCCCCAGAGATGCTTTCTTCCCTCCCTCAAAGAACTTTTTGATTATATTCTCCACTTGACAAATGCTAATGATTAGTTACAAGGAGTAAGCAAGCAGGCCTAACAGTAGGTGGCAGCTGCCAGTCCTCTAAAAGTGTCCACATACTGGCAGAAGGTACAGAAGTGGAATCTCATTTTAATGGTTATTATTTATTCCATTTTCACCCGGTTCTTTAACTACAATCTACTGTTCAAGGTAGCTTCCAGGTGATAAAAACAAGTGAAAGTAAATTCAGCCATACAGTCCTCAAAACAAACCACAAGCGTTCAAATCACATCTGTCTGCAGACAATTGAAATTACCAGCCAAAATCATATTAGTTACACCTGCTAAAGTAATAGAGTTACGTGTAATGAAAGTGGTGTATCTCTCATTGGCAACTTGGCATGCATCAGTAGATGCCTGTGGGAACTTCTTAAATTATAGCAACTTGCCAATGAGATTTATACCAGTTGCACTAGTTTAAAAACTCAATGGAATTTTGGTCATCATAACCGTATTGTAATATTGTGATATAATAATACCGTTTCTAAAAGCAGGGAGTGTGTAAACTGGACACAATTCTAGGGGGAGTGCATTCCACAGTCCTAGAGTCTTGTAGGAGAAAGCTCTCTCCTGCATGCATGTCAAGTGAGTATGTGAAGCTGTTGGTATTCTCAGGATGTTTTCAAGATCTAAACATCGAGACAGGTGCATAAGACAACAAATTACCCCTTAGATAGCGAGGCCCCAAGCTGTTTAGGGATGTGAAGATTAGAATCAGCCTTGAATTGGATGTGTTAAGCAATTTGAAGCTAACACAGGTCTTTCAGTGTTAGGGTCATATGCCCTCAATGCTGTGCACTACTTAGCAGCCTCAGTGCTATGTAGAGAATCCAGTGAGAATCCCTGATCCTCTTTAAAGGCTATGTAGACCTTGTTGCACTAGTCAAGATACAAGTTAGGTCAAGCGTGGTTAACTTGCCAAGTCAGGTAACAGAAGGCCCACCAACGTTCTCTTTAATTTGTATCTGCATACACATACGTATGCTTGCATTAATGGAAACTGCCAAGTGTGCTCATTACTGCCAATCTGTTGGTGTGTGACACTCTTTTCTTTGATCTGTGTATTTTATGCTGCTTCCTTATTAGGCTTCCTGTGATTCTCCCATAGCTTGGAACATTGCTTTGTAAAAGTAATCCATCAGTTTCTCATTATGTTACTTGGTAGCACTATGTTACATTAGGTATTCTTGGATGGGCTGAGGGGAGTATCCTGTCATACTCCCATAATGTATGAGATTGCTGGAATGTTTTTTGTCTTCTTCAAAACTTTAAAACTCTGCTTGTTTCTAGCCCAAAGTCAGAGTAATCAGAAGTGGAGCAAAACAATGCAGGAAGTGTTAGCTCCTCACCACACTTCCTTAAAAGCGTTTAGAGTATTGGGTAAGAGGAGTGATGCTTAAAACATTCTCCAGGAAGTGTGGCTAGGAGCACTTCACTGCTGGTTCCTCTGAACAAGAAGTAAAAAGTAGGATCTCATGCTTTATAGCATGGGACCTATTGAACAATTTGAAAATAAAAACCACCACTGCTCTCTGCACCCGATCTTCCTGCATTCTTTAAACCAAAAGACAGATTGTCAGACAGACAGAAAAAACACCCACAATGGTCAAAATCCTGTTGCTTCATGTGTTAGAGTAGGCCCACTGAACCAATGGAGATTTGAGGAATCTGATTCTTTGTAAAGTCCATTAGTTCAAGTGGGCCTACTATAACTGTGATTTACTTTAACATAATAAGTTGCAGTTAAATTAGGCCCATTAATCAATGCAGTTTATGGAGGATTTGACTCTATATATCCCTTTTATTCAATAGATTTATTGTAGTGCAACTTACTACACTACAAGAGGATTTTGGCCACTGTCATTGCTGTTCACTGCTCCCCAAAACAACTTGTTGTGAGCAATGCTTGCTACCGTAGCAAGCATACCATGTTATTCAAACATTCTGCTCCACAGTCCTCTTCTTGGGTTTGTATAATTTGATGACTTGTCAATGGGAAAAGAGGAAGAGTTTATTTGCCACTGAATGAGAAAGAAGGTTTATCTCTTTTCAGGAGAGGTGTCTGTGATGAGGTGGAACAGAGACATGATAGAACTGGGGTGGCAGGAAAGGAGGGAGAGAGATGTCTCCAGAAGTGGAACTGTTTCCATTCTTTCCTCTGAAATGTATGCTTTTATTCAAGTAATAATGTGCTACTGATCTGCCAATACTTGACTGTCCCTGCATATATTGATTTCTCACTTGTTGCTCAGTGGCTCCATTTTGGCTGCAATCCTTTTGGCACATACCAGTTGAGTTTTGTATTTAGAGTTTTGGCTAATTTAGTCCTGACATAGAGGAGATCATGTCATTTTATGACCTTTCCAGGTCCTAAGTAGCTGATTGGTTGGTATGTTATCCGCCTGCTGGCAACCTTAGCCTAATGCCTTAGACAGTTTACCCTTTGAATTAAGAACCCTGCACTCATATTTAAAGTCTGAAAAATGGGTATTTATTGCTGTTTTACTCTGTGAAGAAGGCTAATTTTAGAAACCAAAAATGTGTATGATTATCATGATATTTACAAATAGCCACTTATTTAGTTAGTAATGATGAGACCCAAAGCTGGTATGAGCGAAAATTGGGCTTGGTGATTTAGACCTTTACAATACCACATTTTCATTTTCATTTTTATATTTTATGTTAAGTGGAAAAATTTAAAACAACACTTTTGTCAAAAATGCATAAGCTGCAGTTCTAAATTTATGTAAAAATTCACTGCTATGTTTCTATAAACCTGCCATACATTCTTTATTTTAAATAGACAGCTTTTCTAAATCACTGAGCTCTGCTTAGACAAGTGGTGTCTCCTTGGTTGAATTTATGAGTGGATTTGAATAATAAATTCATATTTCAATGAACATATTTTCATTAAAACTGTAAGGTTTATTTTACTGTACTTTTAAATAATGGCTTATTATAGAAGCTATAGTTTAAATTCATGCAGTAGTTGAAACTTAGTGTACGGTTACTAAAGAGAAAGTGAAAAGTGAGAGATGCAAAATGTTATTCATAAATTTCTCGGTGTTAATTGTGAAACAGTTTGCTTAGAACAGCCAAACCTGAGATTGGACACTGTGTTTAAAACTTGTGGTGGGAGAATTGACATTGCCTTAAAAATCTTCAGATGCCTCATTGTATCTAAACTATTCGTATAAAGGATCAGAATCTCAGGCTTCAACTTTTTTCAGCCTGGCAATGTTGTATTTGTACATAACGTTTTAGGGAATGTTTCAATTTTGGATCTTGTGATGAGGTTTTAGGAGGCACTGCGACATTCGCATGGTAAGAACAGCTTTTATAAGCCCTTAATATCCCCTCTTAAGGCAGATAAAATGGAATAAAACTACAGGGAAGATGCTAATGGAGCTCTCTTTAGAATTCTTTATGCAACTGTCTGGTCAAGACATGTTGCTTATAATTGATGTGTCCATTACTTGAATTCTCTTGTAATTATAGTCAATAAGTCTTGTAAATGTGTTAAAGCTCACTAAAAGCATACAAATTCAAGAACAGAGTAAGGCTAATAATTTAAAATAATCAATGTAGGCATTTCAGCACTTAATTTCCCTTGTGTGTTGATAGCTGATCATTCTTAATCCATTAAGATTTATTTAGTCGTTTACAATGCAAAATAGGTTTGCACTGGTCACTTGTGCCATTTGAAAATGTCCACCAGGTTAAGTGCAGAATGTAGTCCATTAGTCTTCCTTGACTATATGTATTAATTGCATTTAAAATCAAGTTAATGTGGATGTGAAAGTGAGGTAACTATCAATATATGACAAAGCAACCGTACTTACATAAGTTACATCATTGATTGTAACATTTAGTAAAAGTTAGCACACTTTTTAGCATCTTGTGTATGTCTTATCACCAAGTGTATTTTCATTAGGAATGAATGTACTGCAGAAGGACTTTGTGAGGGATGACAAAACTCATCTACCTTT